CCTCAGGGTTTAGCAGTAGTGGGAAACCGCTCCTATACCAAGGCCTTAAGGGCAAGAGGAGGGAACAATGTTTCAGGAGTCTTAGAGATAGATCCATGGAGAGGAGGCAGCCCAAAAGGATCTGTGACTGTAGATGAGTGGTTCGCAAACTTCAGTATGTATCAGAGTCACCTAGAAGGTATGTTAAAATACTGATTACTCCAGTAGGTTTGGAGTACGACCTGAGAATTTGCATTTCTAACAAGCTCCCAGGTGATGCTGAGGCTGCTGTCCAAAGAACAGTCATTGAGAACAAGTGCCAGAGAGAAATTATGCGCTGTCAGAACTGCAACAAGATGAAGGATTTGGGGAATTAATACTTCAACCTCTCTCCTACCACCCACTGATCTCCTGCTGCCGCCTCCCATGGGCCAAACTCAAACAGAAGCTAGAGGGCAAGTAATGCAGTCTGTGGAGGTCAGCCTTCCAGAGAACAAAGAGTGGAGAATGGAGGGGGGTGGGGAAACAGAGAATAATCAGAACCACCATAAATAGAAGGAGGGATAGATCAACGGAAAGACAGATGATAGATGAGCTAACAAGTATCTGAATGGAAGGATAGAGTAATAATAATGGTTGATACTTAACAAGTGTTAATTATGGGCCAACCTCTGAACGAAAGACTTGACTCAAATCACCTCATTTAATCCTAAGAAGTACATCTATTACCATTCCAATTTTACAAATACGGACACTAAGACACAGAAACTGGATAACTGGCACCTGGCCAAATAGCCAACGAGTGGTGGAATCTGAATCCCAACCTGGGCATGCTGTCTGTAGAGCCTCACTCCTCTGTACTGGTCTATGATCAATGCACAGCTGGCAGACAGGCAGTGGGGCAGTAGTCAAGAGTGTAAACCTGAGAGCAGAGATATCTGAGTTTAAGACACTTACTTGCAAGGGGACCTTGTGGTCTGAGCCTCATTCCTTATGTGTAAACAGAGAGAATAATATGATAATAATAAAAATGACTTCCTAGTTTTGTTGGAAAAGTTAAGCAAGGTAAAAGTGGTAAAGTCCTTGATCCAGAGCCTAGCACATAGTAAACAACCACAAATACCATTACTGCTAACATTATTAACGGATGGAAAGAAAGATGTCACCTTTATGGAATTATCCCCCAACCAGAAGAGGGTTCAGAGCATGGTTGGGGATTGTTGAGTGGGTGTCCCACATATTAATTTTTCTTTTGAGGCCTTCTCTTTGGGTCTATCCCTGGTCCTTCTCATAAGGATAGGAAATCACCCTCCCCCATCCGCCGATTCCTTGAAATTTGAGGATTTGTCTGAATATGAGCTGGCCAGCCCCTCTCCTTAGAAATCCCCTCTTAGTTCCCAGGATCGAGAGGAAGGGAAAGAGGAAGGGGGCTATTCCAGGCCAGGCTCCCTCCAGCTGTTTGGTTGACCCAGGTGTTGGACGTATGAAAATGGTAAATAGAGATAGGGGCAGTTCTCACTGAGCTAGGAGGTTGAATCCCAGAGACCTGAGATATGGGATGCGGTACTGGGCCTCTTTCCAAGGAACATTCCCTTTCAGCTCTACTTCCCAGAGGATGAATGGGATGGGCAGGTACTGTAATGACCTGGGGAGGCTACCCCAGTCTCTGTGGTTGTTCTGAGGGCACCAGGGAGCCTTCTTCACCACCAACCGCACCGGAGAGAAGAACCACAGAGAAGAGAGTAAGGATGAGGGATAAACCTAGGGAAAGGGGCGCAACTCCTCACTCCAGCCCCCCAATCCTGACCATCACCTCTGAAGGCCAGCCCTATGGTTGATGATGCAAATGTCACCAAGGAGGTGACAGTGCAGACCCTCTCTCTGGAGCTGACAGCACAGGGTCCCCTTCTCTTGGCCAGACTGCAGACTGCTTAGGTTCTCAGAACTGAAGTCAAGGAAACCAGAAGAGGGGGGAGCTGCTGAGGGGGAGGAGGGAGAGCAGTGTCAGGTTCCGTCAGAAAGAGGGGGGCAAAGGGGAATCCACAGAATGGATGCAGAGGGGAATTTCTGAGCAGAGAAAGTGAAAGTTCTGGGTCTTAAATAGGAGGCAGTTGCAGCCTCACACAGGCTCCCACACTCACATGCCCAGACATCCTCACACCCCGAAAGGACGCCTGTGTGCTCCCCACTGCTCCCTCCCGCTCCCAGCCAAGTCTCAGCCTCACACAGACTCCTGCACACGCCGGGAGATTCACTCACGCTCACACACTCGTTGTCAGTCCGCCTCTGTGCACCCTCCATGGCACCCCACGCAGCTGCACTACTGGCCCTCAGCCTGCTGACTCTCTCGACCTCCCCTGGTAAGGCTGAGGGGAGGCTTAGGGTGGGGGGCTAGAGGGGGGATGTCTAGATCTCAGACTGCTTGGCGCTGGACGTGAGGGACACTGTGAGTTTGGGCTGCATGTTTCAGGGAACCTGGGGGTTCCCTGTGCCCTGTGTGTGCCTGTGAGTGCGGGTGTATCTGGGCCCCTGAATTCCAATGTGTGTCTGCCTCTTGGTGTATCCCAGGGCCTATGGCTGCCCCTCTCTCTGCAGGCTTTATTTCCTGCTGCCTCAGTGTCCCAGACAGAAGGACAGAACAGTATATATTTGCTTAAGGTGGGGAGAATGGGGGACACTGAGGCAGCGCTAATTGTCAAAATATTTAGCCATTCATAAGTCCTCTAACACCGGCCTCCTGCTACCCCACCCCACCCCGTTCCCCACCCCCATCCATCCCTCACCAACACTGTGACCATTAACTCTTAACTCTTCCTTTATGGGGAAGTTGAGAGATCCTGGAAGAGAGGTTGGGGTGATCCGGGCAGCAGGAAGGCATTGTGGGGCTCAGGGCAGAGGTTGTTTACCAAACAGCTTAGAAGTACTTCAATATGTTTAGCAACCAATAGAGCCATATCGGCGCATGCTGGCTGAATATCCCCTAGCTGCCTCCACACACACACAGGCATCCTTAATCCCAGTTAGGGCCCTGGCCTCCCCTCTTCAGGGTCCCTGTGTCCTGACACTACCTTCTTTCCCAGCTCTGGGTGGTGCTAACGACGCTGAAGATTGCTGCCTGACTGTGAACCAGCGCCCCATCCCTGGGAACATCGTGCGAGCCTTTCGCTACCTCCTCATCAAGGATGGCTGCAGAGTGCCCGCCGTTGTGTGAGTTGTGGGAGGAGCCTGTCTAGCCTCATCTCCCCATCAGCCCCTGGTGACACCCACCTCCACCTTCTTCTCCCTCTTCTCCTTGCCAAGTCCAACCTCTGCAAGGAAGCCCCTGAACAGGTTCCCACATGTGGTCCCCAGCCTCTGCCCCTCACACCAGGGTCTGCCAGGATGGGTTCCAGACCTCCAGTCTCTCTGACCTCTGACATCTGACTCCAGGTTCACTACGCTGAGAGGTCGCCAGCTCTGTGCACCCCCAGACCAGCCCTGGGTGGACCGCATCATCCGGAGACTGCAGAAGAACTCTGTAAAGGCAAGCCTGACCCTCCCCAGTCCTGCCTCCTCCCTTGAGCCCCTGCCCAAGACCCCCAGCCCATGACCTTGTCTCTCCTTCCTCCTCCAGAGCAAGCGCCACAGCAGTTAGCGCACGACAGCCCCAGAGGGAGCCCTGTGTCTGAGTGAAGGGACATGAACCACCGTGGCCCTGGGGAACCCTGGACCAGAAGGGAGAATCAGGCCTCCAGCTCCCCTGCACCAGACCTGACCCAGCCAGGGCGAGCCTGGAGTGTCCGTGTGAGTGTGAGTGAGAGTGAGGGGTTGAATGTGGTGGGAGCACAGCTCCTCCTCGCCCAGACTGCAATGCTTCCAATAAAGCCCACTGGCACCCACGGATCAGTCTGTCTGCTGTTTGCTGTCTGTTCAGGAGGACCAAGATTGGAAAGGGAGAGATGGAATGGCAGGATCTGTTTTCCACCCTGCAGACTGACCAACGTCCTCATCGACCTCCACTCACCCAACACCCTGTGTTCTCAGGATCAGCCCCCACAGTCAGGGCCCCACCACATGTCTCCTCGCAGGCCTCTCATACTCCATGGCTCAGCAACACTAAACCTGTATCAGTTCCCTGAATGTGCCAACTCTCCAATGCCTCCCAGCCTTTGCTCTCCAGGAAAGGTGTCCAAGTATCCAGGCATCTCAGTGATTGGATATCACTGGAGGGATGTCAGGAACCAGCTCTCATGACTGGGGGAGGGACAGAGGGCCCAACTCTACTGCCGGGGGGAAGTACCCATCCGCCCATGCCATTCCCTCTGTCTGGAACACTCTTCCCATCTGTGTCTGGATGACTCTTCCTCGAGGAAGCCTTCCCTGACTCCAGGGTGAGTTGGGAGCCTCCCTCCCTCTCAAGTTCCCAGGAACCCCTGCCCCTCTCCTCCCGCAGCACTCATCATTCTGAGTTACAATTGCTAGTTTATTGGCCTTCCTGGACAGGGATCATGTCCATTTTGGTTTCTACTGTCACGCTGGTGTCCAGCTTGGGACAAGGTAGCCACTCAATAAATATTTGTCTTGAGAATGAATAAATATGTGAGGAAAGGTGCCACAGTTGGGGGGAGGGCCCATCTGTCCCTGCAGAACCATACCTGCAGGCCAGTCCTCCTCTCTGGCACAGTTAGTCTAGGCCAGGTCCAGTCCCATCTGGGCAATCCTGGGGTCACACTTCTCAGGGATACTGACAGACTTGGGAGCCAGAGGTCAGAGTAGGAGAGGCTCGAGAGGATGCAAGAATGAGCAGTCAGGGAGCCAGGGAGATTCATGCAGTAACCCCCCAGCAGCCCGCAGCCCACCTGGGCTTCAGGGCCAAGGAAACGCTGAGGCCAGGGGCGTCACAGGGAAGGAGTTTCAGCTCTGGGAGATGAAAGTCCTGTGACTCTGGTAGCATCCCACAGGGCTGCTCTGGGAGGAGTGAGCTCCTTCTGCTTAGGAAGTCCCCTGGGGAAGCTGGCTGGCCTCTTGGCTGTGTCCCCTAACAGCCTGTCCAGCTGGGAGCAGCCAGTCTGTGCCACTGGGGTTGGAATGGCAGCCAGGACACAGGCTAAGCAACCTCGCCCAGGAACTGGGGCCATGATTAGACCAGGTATACCTCATCGGGTAAAACAGGCCTGAGCAGGCCTGGGCAGCCTGGGATAGGGAGCGGTGGTAAGGGGTTGTGCCAACCCCTCCTCACTGAGCTGAGAGCATGACACCTTCTTCCTCTCCCCTGCTTCCAGAAGTAGGTGTTCAAAATCTCAAATATCCCAGGTCTTAGAGTCACAATGAGTGGGTGGGATGGGGATAGTTTGCAGGAACAACTGCTATGGCTGGGAAGTTTGGCTCTGCTGCCTGGGGGAAATTACCCATCCATTCATGCATCCATGCATCCATCCAGCCAGCCAGCTGTCTCTGCATCCATTAGACCTCCATCCACCCATCCACCCACACCTCCATCTACGCATCCATCCATTAATCCATGCATTAAGTCAGCCACCCATGGTGTTCCACAGGTCCCAACTTGGACACCCTTTGGACCGAGTGCCCTGTACACCAGCAGGCAGAGAACAAAACAGGTGTGGGGGGACACATTGCCCCAAATCCTTCTCAGTTCCCAGTGAAGCCAAGTGGAGGTCAGCCTGCCACAGAGGCAGACACAACCTCTCCCTCTGGACCCTCGGGGAACACACAGACAGAGCAGGGGAGGGGAGGGTGGGAGCCCTGAGGAAGGTGCTACCAGAACAGATGCCCCCGGACACTGCCTCTCTGACACTGCCACAGGGAGTCCAGGAACAGGTCAGGAGCTCAATGCCCAGCCCCCAACCCCACAATCCTGTTTCTGCCCCTCACTGTGCGACTCTGGGCAAGTCCCTTCCTCACTCCCCCTCCAAGGCCTTAGTTCCCCATCTGTCAGGTGGGAGCAGGAGCTTAATTTTTATGAGTCTCTCCAAACAAAAACTTGACTCCTGAATCTTTGGGTCTCAGGCTAACCCCCAGCATTCAAACAGGCTCCCCCAAAGTCATGCATATTCAGAAATGTCCCCACAGCCTGGGGCCCCGGGGACCACCCTCTGGGAATAAAGGGGAAGCTGAGGTTCGGAAAGAGGGAATATAACCCAGGAGCTACTGTAGCAGCTAGAACAGCCCCCTGCTGGACCCGGAGGCCTGTGGAATGAAGAACTGGAGAAAGCCTGAGGGGTGAACACCAGAGCCCCGTGGGGAGCAGGCATGTGGTCCTCCCCACCCCTTCTCCAGCCAGCGCCTTCCCTCCTGGCTTTCTCCCTCTTTTTTTTTTTAATATATGTATCATAGTATTTTTAATTATGGCACTTTTTCATGCAATATGATGCCAGCCTTCTTAATCACTGACCAAAAATTCAATTCTGGGCACTTAAGTCAAAAATTCAAACATTACTTTTGTTAATTGTATAAATGAGAATAATCTATTTGTTTTCATGGCTATTTCCTTCCAACCTCTGGCAATGCTGGCTATAAGCTCATAAGGATAATCCCCAATTTGCAATAGGGTTTGTTTGAAAAGTTTTCAAGTTGGCTGTCTGAAACTGTGAAATAAGCCAGATGGAGAAAGCCAAATACTGTATGATTTCACTCATGAGGAAGATAAAACAACAACAACAATAAACAAACGCATAGATACAGAGAACAGATTGGTGGTTACCAGAGAGGAAGGGGGGTAGGGGAGGGTGAAAGGGGTAAAGGGGGACATTTGTACAACGATGAATGGAAACTAGACTTTTGGTGGTGAACATGATGTAGTCTATACAGAAGTCAAACTACAATGATATATACCTGAAATTTATATAATGTTATAAACCAATGTTACCTCAATAAAAAATAAAGTAGGGCCAGCCCTGGTGGCCTAGTAGTTAAGTTCAGCGCACTCCACTTCAGCAGCCTGGATTTGGTTCCCAGGCGTGGACCTATACCCTCTGTTAGCAGCCATGCTGTGCTGGTGGCCCACATATGAAAAAACAGAGGAAGATTGGCACGGATGTTAGCTCAGGGCGAATTTTCCTTAGCAAAAATAAAATAAAATAAACACCACTACCTATAAAGTATTGAGCACCTATCTTAAATCAGTCTTTGATGCCCTATATATCTGCATTTCCCCCTTTCTTTCTAGTTAGTTCCACCCAAGAAAGAAGGAGGTCATGCTATAACCTCCTCTTCCACTTCCTTCTCTCTGGCAAGACTCTCTCAGGATCCACGGCTTAGGTCTTTTCTATCAATATTCTTGTTATCTACTGGTTGGCATAAAGAAATCTTTGAAAACTCTACTGAGGGCCTGACTACCATTTCTAAAATGCATCATGAGTTTCAGACAAGAAAACTTCTCCCTCCCTCTTTATCCCACCCCCAGCCACCAACCCTCTTGGGCCCTGGGTCACATGCCCTAACCTCCCTGCCAGATACATGAGGGCTTAGCTCAGCAACCTGTGACTTGTCCCACCCCTCTCCAACATTCTCAGCACTGTGACTTCGTCTAATCAACATCTGCCCATTTCACTCTGATGTCCTGACAAGCTCTAGATCTTGTTTTATCCTGAGTTCTGGTGCACCAGGGGCCTACCTGCTGACCTGACAATGACGAAGCTGCCAGATCTGACGGTGGTATGGACTCTTAGCTCCCCAGTCAGGATACAGAGGCCTTGCCGCCTGCCCCTAGGGAGACAGCTTCCTCTGTAGCACACATGGCGCCTACTACAGGTTCAAGGCCAGCAGCTGAGCGATACCTCCCTCCCCAGAAGGCCTGTGGTCCCAGCAGCCAACATCTCCCTACAGGAACCTGACATCCCTGCTCAGGGAGCTCCCAGCCTTTTTGTCTGCCTACGTGGTGGACAAAAACTTCCTGTCCTGTCTATTGACAGAGCTCCCAGGGGAAGGGATTGGCCTGTCCATCTCCACTGTCAACATTCCTCTCCACAGGGGCTGGCACAGAACAAGGCCCAGTACACATTTGATTAACACAAAATGGAGCTGAGTGCGGCTCGTTCCCACGATGCACCCCCACACACACTCACACCTGGAGCACATCCAGTTCTCAAGACAGCGGGGCTGCCTCTGCGGCATGGGGAATGGTTTGGTCAGAGCCAGCCCCAGACGGTTTTGATCATATTTTCACCATCACATGTTTGAGTTCTCGGTAAACCCCCACCCCATGCTCCCCTTCTCTGGCATCCGGGAAACTCAGAAACAGCCAGAAAACCTTGGGAATTACAGTCTTACAAAGGAGCAGGGCTCCCAAGTGGGGAGTTTCCTCAAGGGCCCCTCTGCAGGAAGATGCAGGCCCTTCTCTGGTCAGAGAACTTCCTCAATGGCCCCGAGACTTTGTCCACATGGAAGGACATGGCTTTGCAGTACTAGCTAACTCACCACCAGTGCTTCCTAGGGGCTGGGCACGGCTTCCGTGCTGTCCTCGTGCTGCGGTTGCAGCTGAGGAAACTGTGGTGCAAAGGTGAAGTAACGTGCCCGGGCTGCACAGCCGGCAAAGTAGAAGAGCCAGGGATCCTAGCCGGGCACTGTGGCTCCAGAATCTGCACTCTTAGCCACTACAGATACCACCGGTCTCAGGCGACCCATCTCCTAAGTAAAAATGGGGAACAATACGTCACGGCCAGGTCTGAGCAAGTAGCCCTCAGGCTATAGGGAAAGCCATTACTTCGGGGTGCTGACCATGTGCCAGGCTCCAAGCTGAGTCCTTTATGTGCATTATATCATTGCATCCTGAACCAACCCTCTGAGGAGGGGATCATTAGTCCCATTCTATGTGTGAGGAAACTGAGGCACAGAGAGGTAGACTGACCTCCCAAGTCCACTCAGCTAGTGAGTGGCAAGG